AATCATTTTTTTGTTTCATTGTTTTGAAAGATTACCTGATTGGAAGAGCATGTCGTATTTGTGCACATCTCCAATTTCTCATCAGAACCATCACCGCAATCATTATCCGAATCGCATTTCCATTGTTCCGGAATGCATCGATGATTATCACATTGAAATTTTCGTGCTGCACAAACAGGAATTTCACCATTTTTGCAATACTGTAACATTTAGCATACATTTTTAAAAAAAATCTCAATACAATTTCAATGTCAATAAATTAAACTTTCGTTTCTTTTTTCCTATTCTTTCAGCCTTGTACTTCAATTTCAAGAAAATAATAGCGATAGATGAAATTGATATTCAAATTTTTTATTCCTTACCTTAACATCTTCATCAGAATAATCGCCGCAATCATTATCACCATCACATGCATATTGCTGTGGTATGCATTTCTTTGTATTATTACAACGAATTGTATTTGATGGACATTCTTTTTGAACAAAACATGGCTTACCATCTGGTCCGATCTGAAATTTTTTTCCAAATTATTCCTATGATTTTAGCATATGATAAGAAACTTTATCATTCTAGTTTTTTTTTTTACTTTTCATATTATTACTGATACTGATAATGATAGCTAATGGTGATTTAATTATAAAAGATGCTACCTCATCACTACCATCAAGACAATCATTTTCTCCATCACATTTCCATTCATTTCGTATGCAACGTCCATTAGCACATAAAAATTGCGATGAATTACTAGCACATAATACTTCAACAACTTCATGACGATCACGTTGACATGTACGCATATTTTCTGGATTTATTTTGAATCCTAAATTTAAATTGTTGCGATGAAAGAGTCATGAAGGAAAGATTTTTTTCTTGCTCTTTTTTTATTTGAATGAAGATAATGATTTAGGAATGGTTTCTTTAAATACTTGAGAGTAGAACTAAATAACTTGCCTTGCTTACATCCACATCTTTTCACAAGTGGTTGAGCTTCTGAGGATGATGAAGTATTGGGAAGTCCAAAGCAAAGCTGTGAACAGTCACTTGAATGGCATGGATGTTCCATTGATGGATCAGGTATCGGTTGATTAGCCGGTGAACAGGCCTAAAAACAAAAAAAAAATCAAATGTTTATTATTTAAATGCAAAATCATGATCAAATAGTGCTAACCGCGAACATATCTTTAAATGAGAAATGCCTAAAAATACCTTCAATGAGAAAACACTTCGATATTTGTCACTAAATTGACGGATAATTCGACCTTTACCGCCATTTCGTTTGTTAACACGACGTATCGAATATGGCCTCTGATGTAAATAATACAAATCATCTGTAATTCATTCATTCTTCAAGAAGTTCGGAATGATATTTAATATGAAAGTTAAAAGATAAGCAGCATAAAGAGATATATTTATATCAATAATATATAATTTTCAATGATGCAACAAAAAATTATCGTAATCAATCAAACAATCAGTTACCTCCAAGTATAGCGATAGCATCAGGAATTGGGTTATCCACAGGTAGAACATATGGATTTGAGCCATCAAAATTCATACAATTAATTGTCATCAATAAAGTATCAGAGTAGCAAAGCCGATCCTCCGAGAAATCAATAGCAATACTGGATGGCCGCCCGAGAGTTGTATTCCGTATAACTTGACAATTACTTGCATCTGCAAGCATTTTATAATTTTTAGATATAAAGGGAAAAATTTTTTATTTTAACTCGTTACTCATCATTTTTCTCACCTATCATGCATCGATAAATTTTTGCAGGTCGTTCAGCATCCGCAAAAAATAATATTCCATGCCATGGATGTACCGCAATAGCAACTGGTTCACGTAAACCGCTCAGTAATTGACGATGAATGAGTTGATCGGGATGGACAAGACCCTAAATAGTTTATGTTTATAAGACTAAACTAAATTAATAGTATCATTGTCGTTTTAGCAAAAATCAGGAAAATAAAGAACAATTTGAGAGATATTCCGGAATATGTTCCGCTTTGATGAGATATGTCTATCAGTAATGCTGACCAGGTTAAATCAACGATATTTTTTAAATTATCAAAAATAATTTCATTTTAACTACAATTAACACTACAGCTAACCTCTTCAGATATTTTGACAACTTCAAGACTATTTCGAATATTGTCAACATAATAAAGCTGCTTTGAGAGCCAATCAAATGACATCGAAACTAAACCCATATTATGAGTGACCAGTACTGGAGCTGAACCTTCTCCATCTGGCTTTACTCTGCAAATGACGAGTAACAATTATATTTGTTCAAATTCGAAATGAGATATTGAGCAAAAGTGAGATTGTAATTAGTCTATTTAGGAGATATGTTTGAATAAATTGAGATAAGTATCTTTTGAACAATTATTAAATTTATATCATTAGCATATATACCTGTTCAACATAAATAACAATAAATCATTTTACCTCGGCTCATAATATCCGGTTAATAATAAAATATGCAAACGATGATGAAATGTCCAGAAGAAATGATTAAATGAAGTATATAAGCGGAAAATGGACAATTGAACATTTGACAAAAGGTACTGTCCCTTATATCTTTCAATGCACTTAATCAAAATTATAAATTAGTATAAAGAGTGTGAAATTACCTGTAAACTGTATGATCGAAGACATCAGCATAAAAGAAGCTGTTACCATGAATATCACACTCCACTTCGTGATAGATTCCAATACGACGTTCTGAAACCGGTGATACGGGTAAAATTGCTTCACTCAGCGAATTTTGATCCGTTTCCGGAAATATGCCACGTACTATT